CTAATTCTAATCCTGCTGTTAATGTAAACCCACCTTCGAGTTTCAACTCTAGACCCAATGGAAATGGTGGGATTGCTAGTCATGGGTCCGGAGCAGCTGATTACAGGTATAAAGGTGGTGTGAATGCATCTAGAGGTCATATGGGTCGGCCTATGAATCGAAGGAATGGGGTGGAGAGGAGTGAGACCCTGGAGGTGAAGGAATTGAAGGACCCAAATTTGCCGCAGCTTGCACAAGAAATTCAGGAGAAGCTTGTGAAGAGTATGGTCGAGTGTATGATTTGTTATGATATGGTTCGGAGGTCTGCACCTATTTGGTCATGTTCGAGTTGTTTCTCGATATTTCATTTGAATTGTATCAAGAAATGGGCTCGTGCACCGACTTCAGTTGATTTGATTGCGGAGAAGAATCAGGGGTTTAATTGGCGGTGTCCAGGGTGTCAATCTGTGCAGCTTACATCGTTGAAGGATATTCGGTATGCTTGCTTTTGTGGTAAGAGGACGGATCCACCTTCAGATTTGTATTTGACTCCACATTCGTGTGGGGAACCGTGTGGAAAGCCACTTGAGAAGGAGGTTCCAGGTGCTAATGGGAGTGAGGAGGATCTTTGCCCTCATAATTGTGTATTGCAGTGTCATCCTGGGCCATGTCCTCCTTGTAAGGCCTTTGCTCCACCACATCCTTGTCCTTGTGGGAAGAAAATAATCACAACAAGATGTGCTGATCGGAAGTCTGTTCTTACCTGTGGGAAACAATGTGATAAGCTTCTTGGATGTTGGCGTCATCGATGTGAGCAGATTTGCCATGTTGGTCCCTGCAATCCTTGTCAGGTATTGGTTAATGCTTCATGTTTCTGCAAGAAAAAGACGGAGGTTGTTCTATGTGGTGACATGGTAGTGAAGGGAGAGGTGAAAGCTGAAGATGGTGTGTTTTCTTGCAATTCTACATGTGGAAAGATGTTGGGTTGTGGAAATCACATGTGTGGCGAAACTTGTCATCCAGGTCCTTGCGGGGATTGTGAGTTAATGCCTGGCAGGGTCAGGTCATGCTATTGTGGAAAAACAAGTTTGCAGGAGGAAAGAAAGAGTTGTTTGGATCCGATTCCAACATGTACACAAATATGTGCTAAATCCCTTCCTTGTGGGATGCACCAATGTAAAGAGGTGTGCCATTCCGGCAATTGTGCACCTTGTTTGATTCCTGTCACCCAAAAATGCCGTTGTGGATCAACCTCTCGAACTGTGGAGTGTTACAAAACTACTTCAGAGAATGAAAAATTCATGTGTGAGAAGCCTTGTGGTCGAAAGAAGAACTGTGGAAGGCACAGGTGTAGCGAGCGATGCTGCCCACTTTCCAACCCGAAGAATAATTTCTCTGGTGATTGGGATCCACACTTTTGTCAAATGGCCTGTGGGAAGAAGTTAAGGTGTGGACAGCATTCTTGTGAATCACTGTGTCACAGTGGCCACTGTCCTCCTTGTCTTGAAACAATTTTTACTGATTTGACGTGTGCATGTGGGAGAACTTCCATCCCTCCTCCATTGCCTTGTGGTACACCTCACCCTTCATGTCAGCTTCCATGCTCAGTTCCTCAACCTTGTGGCCATCCTGCTTCTCATAGCTGTCACTTCGGAGACTGCCCACCATGTTCAGTGCCAGTAGCTAAGGAGTGTGTTGGCGGGCATGTAATTCTTGGGAACATACCCTGTGGGTCAAGGGATATCAGATGCAACAAACTCTGTGGTAAGACCAGGCAATGTGGTCTGCATGCATGTGGAAGAACTTGTCATTCACTGCCTTGTGATACTTCACCTGGAACTGAAAATGGCGTGAGAGCTTCTTGTGGGCAGACATGCGGTGCCCCTAGGAGAGATTGCAGGCATACTTGCACTGCACTTTGTCATCCGTATGCTGCTTGTCCTGATGTCAGATGTGAGTTCCCTGTCACAGTTACTTGCTCTTGTGGCAGGATGACAGCATCTGTTCCTTGTGATGCTGGAGGGAGCAATGGTGGTTATAACGACACAGTTTTAGAAGCTTCCATTCTCCACAAGTTGCCAGCACCTCTCCAGCCAGTGGAATCCTCTGGAAAGAAGATTCCTCTTGGCCAAAGAAAGCTCATGTGTGATGATGAATGTGCCAAGTTGGAGCGGAAAAGGGTTCTTGCTGATGCTTTTGATATCAACCCACCAAATTTGGAAGCTCTTCATTTTGGTGAGAATTCTGCCGTGACAGAGTTGATTGGTGATTTGTACAGGCGTGATCCAAAGTGGGTGCTTGCCGTGGAGGAAAGGTGCAAATATCTGGTTCTTGGCAAGAATAGAGGGACCACAAGTGGTCTTAAGATTCATGTTTTTTGCCCTATGCTAAAGGATAAAAGAGATGCAGTTAGGCTGATTGCTGAGAGGTGGAAGGTTGCAATTTATTCTGCTGGTTGGGAGCCAAAGCGTTTTATTGTAGTCCATGCTACACCCAAATCTAAACCCCCACCACGTGTGATTGGGATCAAGGGTACAACAACTCTAAGTGCCTCCCATCCACCAGTTTTTGATGCTCTTGTAGACATGGATCCCAGGCTTGTTGTTTCTTTTCTAGATTTGCCGAGGGAGGCGGATATAAGTTCCCTGGTCCTTAGGTTTGGTGGGGAATGTGAACTAGTTTGGTTGAATGATAAGAATGCACTGGCTGTCTTCAATGATCCTGCTCGAGCAGCAACTGCTATGAGGAGGCTGGATCATGGATCAGTATATCATGGAGCTTCTGTGGTTCCTCAAAATAGTGGTGCATCTAGTAATGCCTGGGGAGTGGCGGGTACTGCAAAGGAAGGATCAGCTGCAGCTTTGAAGGGAACTTCGTGGAAGAAAGCTGTAGTGCAGGAGGCTGGCTGGAGGGAAGATTCATGGGGTGGTGAAGAGTGGTCTGGTGGTGGTTCTGCAGATGTTCAGGCTTCTGCTTGGAAAGGGAAAGAAGCTCCAATTGCTGCTTCAATCAACAGATGGAGTGTCCTAGACTCTGAGAAGGCTGACAGTTCATCTGCTGCTTCTCTCAAGATCGAGGATCCTGCAAAACGAGTTACAGGTAGTCTTTCCAGTTCAGGTCTGGAATCAAACGCAAGCACTTCCAATACAGCAGTGCAGTCTGCAACTCAACGTGGAGGAGTTTCAAGTGAAGAAGATCTATCCGAGGTGGTGGATGACTGGGAGAAGGCCTATGATTGAAAACACGCTTCTTGGGTAATCTGATTTTTTGATTATGGACAGGAGATGGGTATCTTTTGTTCTATACCTATTTCACTTCATATATTTTAGCATTTGCAGGAAAAGTTTTATGTTTTTTAGCTGTTGTGAATAGTTATATCATCCATCACCATTGATGCTTGATGGTGGGTGACTTAAAATCCCATTAATTTGGGGAGAGGGCGTACATCTCTAGTTCTCTACTGTATGGAAGATTACGTGCACTATAGAACTTGGTCTAAGAAAATATCGGGGAAGAAGTCATTGCTGCTTCGTCAGTGGGTTTTGCTGTTAGATTTTTGAGAAAGGCCATATGTACAGAGCATAAGTGACTTTTTGTTGCTGCTATTGATTCCAACGAAATATTTGCTTTATTTTGACAAAAAGTGTTTCTTCGTTTCTTTCTTTCCCTTTTCTTTTCGATGTTTTCAAGAACAAGCTATTTTGTATATTCATGCACCCTCATTGTTGATCTTTGGTGTGCTTGTGTCAGCACGTTGAATTCTTTCGGAGATTTTTTTTTCTTTTTTTTCTTTTTTCTTTTTTTTTTGTCAAGGAAGAGGTTTTATTGTCAAATGTGTTTAGATATCTCTCAAGCCAGAGATTCTTCTACTGGTTTATTGGAAGAAACGATCAAGAAGATCTCAATCCCAACTGGTATTGCGTGTTTTCAAGGTCTCGCTTGCACCATTTTCAAATGCAAAATCATATCCCCAACAACTACGCAGGTTTAAATCTTATGCAGCGTCCCCATTCTGTTGATATTGTTCCGACTTCCTTTATTGTTATTTAGGTTTTCCGTATATCGAAATCTTGTATAACGTAGATTTTTTTAATAGAGATTTAAAATTTTTTTTTCTGTTTAATTTAAGAGTTTTACTCTTACGTTATTATTATTTCAAGTCTTATTCAATTATAACTTGTCATATAAGCACACGTAGTAAGTTTTAGTCAACGACGACTTGTTATGTCACTAATTCAATTACTCAATTTGGACTCATTATGACATGTGGTAAATTATCATTGGTTAGAGTTTGCTATATGTGTTTATGTGGCACATTAGGGTTTAAAACAATAATATAAAAGTAGAATTCTTAAATTTGATATAAAAAAATTTAGGATTTCAATCAAAAAATTTTGAATTGTAGGGAGTTTCGATAGTTATTATATGCTTAACTTTTTTTAAATGAATTACTCATGTAAGGAAATAAAATGTATTCGTTTAATGGTTTTGGGGTTCTATATAAGAGCACCTTCTTTTGTTGCCAAATATTTAAGTTTAAGAATAACAGCAATTTAATCCTTGAACTTCATAAAAATTCCCAATTTAAGTCGATGGGATCCAAATCTTGATGAACTGGTTATGTTCTGAATTCTTTACGTTGATAAATTCTTCCATTTGTCACCAGTCAATTCTATGCATGTTGAGTGACAAGTGATGATGTCGCTGCATTCTGGTGGAACTGCAATTCGTAAGCATCTTTGAAAAAGGTGGTTGCAAGTTTTGTTAATTGGTGTAATAAATCATACAAATTCTACTTCCTGTCAGGAAATAGAAAGCAATCTTCTCAAGAACTTTAGCCTCACTAAAACAACTAAGAAATATAGTCTTCACTATCTTGAGATCAAACAGAAAGCAACTGGTTCAATTGAAGTGCATTGCATTACCCAATTATGTGTGTATATATATATATATATAGTACATCTCAGGTCCAGAGACAGAGAGAATCTAAAATGAACATTGACATTGAGATTTTGTTACTATTACAATTTCCTTCGGCGTAAATCCCACTTGAAATGAAAATGCTGGTACCCAGAACCAGCAGGAGGAAGCAAGGAAACTCTATCTCTTGCGGGAACCGAATACTTTCCATGAATTGCCTTCGGCATGTCTTTCCATGGCATCTTATGCAGTTTCTCAACTAGCCAGATGCAATCCCTGGTCAAAGAGCAAATGGAAGCAAAAAAAGTTAGCTCCCATCAAGTATTAGAAGAAAGAAAATGTAGCTTAATTAGCCTTTTACACACCTTAGCTGTTCCATCGAATAGCCTGTGTAAAGTTTTAATTTCTTGCTCCAATTAGGCTTCTGGTGTAAGGAGCAGAGTGCAACATAAACTGCTGAGGCAGCAATCGTTGATGGAGAGTACTTGATTGTCTCATAATGGATTAGAGCAAGTTCCATGAGGAAACACACCATGTTTTTCATCTGTTAATGCAGGAAAGTAAACAATGATATATCATTCAATTAGGCTTAACAACAGTGTAATAACATGGCTTGCAAAGATAAAAATCGAATATTGATACCTTTGCATCAGATTTAGTACTAGCTTCGAGGTAGTGATGGATGAAATGATAAGGTGTTGTTATGACTGCCAAATTCCATCCTAGCTTGCGTAAGATCTTCTCTTCCAAGTCATATACTTGCTGAGGAGTGAATGTCCTGTCAGATAGCTGCAAATAGTCCTTCCGCCATGCTGTCCAGATATTACTACCGACCTGCAAATCAATTCCAATCAGTAGTTAGCCTCAGAACCTGATTCGTACTTGGAAGAACATGGAAGAAACACCAAAATAAAGCATGCTCAGGTTATACGAACCTTAAGGGGTGTTCCCTCTTCATATTTGCAAGCTAAGAACAAGGCAGTAAAGCCTAATAGCTTTAATTCCACCAATGGCACAATTTCCTTCGACAGGAATCTATCAATTATGTCGATCGACAGATACAATGTTTCTTGCTCTAGCTTGTACTGCATGTGAGCCTTTATCAACCAGTCTACCAGAACCGTTCTCATTTTCTCATCGATTTCTCTTTGCATGCTCATGTAACCATAAGCTAATTGGCATTTTTCCTGCACGTAAAAGCTTAGTTAGTCTTGGTACACGAAAACCCACTGACGATACCCTACCCCGTTCATGCAACCGAAAAATTAATTAGCCTGTTTATACATTTATGTAATTTTTTTTTAATTATTATTATTTTCATAATTCTCAAATATTTTCTCTGACTATAAGGTATTAGGTATAGAAAATCAAAAAATATACGTTCTGTATTTTCACATTCAATTCTTTAATTTCTTAGATTTGAAGGACCATAATCATAACCTCAGCTATACACACACATACACACACACCTTTACATACATACATACATACATACATATACATACACACACATTGATATCTCTCCAACGCAAGTAGCAGAATACATACAAACATACACATACTGGTTAGGTAAGATTAGATATGTACGTACGTCGTTCAACTTGTAAAGGTTGAATATATCTTGGGCAGAGCCAGAATTAATATCAACAACTAGCTCGTTGCTTCGGCAACTAGCAAACGCAGATTTGAACTTTTTTCCGATTTTCTTTTTGAGTTTCTTCAATGCCATAACTTGGAAAGATTGTTAATTTGAAGGATAAGAGCTTCTTCTTGAACAAGTGCTGTGTTCTATCAAGTGTGCGGAGAAGGAAAGTAATTCCAGTCGTACGTACATTATATAAAATATGCTAAACCCTTACTGCTTTCGGATTGTTCTTTAACTAGGAATTTCTAATCTCTTCACGGGCAAGTCCTTGTGGTTTTCGGATCCGGCCATGGCAATTAGGGTTAGGACTTCCTTTTTTGTTTCATGGTAAGTCCTCGTGTTTTTCGGATTTGTATACGTTCTTTATTTATTTTTCTTTTTGAGAAGTCTTAGGAACTGGGACACTTGAATGTATCAATCACCTGCATTTTCTTAGTGATCTCTTTTTGCTCGACCACTACGTACGCAATTCAAATATTTACTAATTTTTTCATGGATTGGTTCAATATTTAATAGTTAATAGACATTATGAAGTACAAAATCTATATATATCGACTATCATAAGAACTCAAAAAATAATTTTTTAAAAGAATCTTATAATTTTTTTATAAACATAGTTAAAAATTAAAACAATATTCTTCAACAAGAAAGATGAAAGATTTTTTTTTTTTTTTCGTTGGAGACTTACTACCCTTATTCTATAATAGTAATAAAATAAACTGAAGTCACTAGGATTCGAATTTTTTTATGGTAGGAAGTTACCATATACACAACCATCACACTATATATGTAAACATTTATTCCGATTCAAGAAAAGGTGAGTTATAAATTAGTCTATTTGCAAAACAAATTAAATAGTCTTAATTTTTAAAAACCAATTAATTAGTTCTTTTCATCCATGTCATACTTCTTTTCAATTAATTTATTTTTTTTGTTTTAAGAAAAACATACAAAAAAAGACAAATAATATAGAAAGATTGGCGAGGAAAAAAATTCTTTTCGAATAAAATAATATTAAATTAAGTATGATTAATATTTAATTAATTTTTAAAACTGGAAGAACTATTTAATTTGTTTTGCAAAACTAAAGAGACTAATTTATAATGTACTCTAAAAAAATCTTGTTATTTTTTTTTTAAAATAGTCTGATTATATGATGAAAAGAATATAATCAAATATTAAAATAAAAATAGGATAAAACGTAATCTAAAATAAAGCAAATTAAATATAAGCTCTCTTTCTAGACTATACATTCTCTATTCTCTCTAAGATAACAACAGCTAGCCTTGATTCCACCTAAGGGGTTGCCGCCGACCTTTCTTTGCTAGCAACAACCCCAAAACACTTATCTATCCACTCTCTCTTCTCTTATATCTTTTCTTTTTTTCCCCTCAGTTTTCTTCTTTTTTTTTCTTCCGTTTTTTGAACCCTTCTCTCTCCCATGGTGCTCTTATTGAAGGATTAACTAGTGTTGTTAGGTGGCTTTAGGGTTTTCTTGCTAGTGAGAGTGATGGGATCCGATGAGGTGGTGATTTTGGATAGGGATAGATAGTGGATATGGTATGCAAGTTTTTAAGCTTCGATGGTAGATTAGTGTATGGTAGTGGTCGGTAATGCTATAAATTGTCTTTGTTGAGGCTTGAGATGATAATATAGGTGGAATAAGAAGTAGGTTTGGTAATGGTTCTCGGATAGTTATGGGTTTTATGACAAATTTTATTCTCACAATATTATGATTTGATAAATTCGAGTTCAAAATATTAAATTACGAAATTTGAATCTAAAGTATTAAAAATTAGATAAATATAATTTAAATTGTTCAATCTTGTCTTACAATTGACCGTTATTTAATTTTTTAAAATAAAATAAAGGCATTGGACGATTCTTCATATAGAAAACAATGTCTAGATGAATAACTATGAAGTTCTTTCAAGCTCCCCAATTTCAACTTGTCCAGGCAAGCTGGCAAAACATTCAAAATGGTGACCTCGTCAGCTTTCATTTCCTCTCCTTGGTTCTGCATTTCCTGCAGAAGATTAAATGCCTCTGTGACATCTCATTCCAAAGAAAAACCACTGATCATGGTATTCCAAGAAACCACATCTTTGTTATTATTCATTTATTCTTCTCACATTTCATGTGAGCTTCGTTCAAGTACCCACATTTTGAATACATATCTACCAAAGCATTTTTCACCTCTTCGCTCAGACCTAGTTTCACAGCAAACCCGTGAATCCCCATTCCTGTATCAACTTCTGCTTCTCCTGCACAAACAGGTAATATAGTCACCACCGTCACTACATCAGGCAACAATCCTTCATCTTCTAACATGTCCATCAACAAATCAAGGCTCTCTCTAGAAAACCCATTTACAGAAAGTGCACAAATCATCGAATTCCACGAAACCAAGTTCTTCTCAGGCATAAAATCAAACACTTTCATCGCCTTATCTACAACCCCACATTTTCCATTTTGCCCAATCTCGCAATCTCTTGTAAACGGCCTCTCTCTTTACAAAAAGCTAACAAGCCTTTCGCAATCTCGCTATCAATCTCGCATTCTCTTCCCTTCTCTTGATGTCTCTGTCTCACCCGTTTTCAATTTAATTTTTACGGACTTCCATTTGAAAAAAAATAAATTAAATAACTGTTACCTGAGCGTTGATTGTTAAAAATAATAGAAATTGAACAATTTGGATGATATTTATTCAATTTTTAATATTTTGAGATTTAAATTATATAATTTGATAATTTGATCTCGAAATTATTAAATTACAATACTTTAGAGATAAATTTTATTATAAAATCGTTAGTTTTGTTACGAGAATTTAGATTTAGAAGGAAAGAAGTGATATGATATGGTTAGAGATGGAGTAGCCCTGGCATGGTTTTTGAAATATGGCTTTACAGCATTGTAGTGGTGATTTGGATTTTAAGAATTACGAGTAAAGGCGTCTTGCGTTGCTATGACTAATGAAAATTTCAACCATTGAGATGTTATGAACTACGTGACTACCTTGAAACTTATGAAAATTTCAAGATTGTTATGAAAATATTAAAACTATATATACTATGATAAAATAAACCTAAAAATAAATGAACCAAAGTGTATTTTTTCACACCTTGAGGCTGAACTTGCCATTTTTTTTCCTCTTTTCTACGAGATTATGTCAACTGCATGAGGATCTGCTTCACTATTGTTAAGATCATCTCCTAGGTTTTGATGTTTTAACTGTTGTATTGGCTCGGGCGATGCCCGTGAAAAATTTGAGAATTTACTTTTTTCAATTGATATTTTATGCATTATATAAAAATCCAAAAATAAGAACAACATATTTTTGAATGATAACTTTAAAAATTGAGTTCACAACTTCACTAATTATTTTTATGGTTTAGATTTTTCGTTTGATTTTATACTTCTATTATTTTTTACATTTGAATTGTTTTTATTTTGACACTATAACAAATAAAAAATATAGCTCTATAAATGGACCACAATTTGGGATTTTAGATGCTAAAAGGGTAGAAACTCATTATTTGATTTATCAAGAGGGAGGAGGAAAAAAAAGGCTCGTTGCCTGACCATCTGGGTGCCTATGTCGATCAATTGGTATTGTTTAATTAACTTCCCTAGAGAATTAATTATTGGTAATTAAGGTATGTTAAGATTTCAACCTATTAAATGAAATAAAGTAAAATATATAAATAAAGAAATACCTATGAGTTTAAGCAGTATATATTGGCTTTTTTTTTTGGCAGCTTGATTATCATAAAATTAAGAAATCGTCATCCTCATTCAAGATCATAAGATAAATCCTAAAAAGCAACATTTATCTTGATATTCTCCATCATTTCATTTATTAACAAATTAAAAACATTTCATGTTAAAAACACGTAAATAAACTGTTATTGTATTGACTATCAATATTGTAGTCCCATTTTTTGATTGCTGCTTTTTTTTTTTTTTTTGGCAGCGTATAACTCATGGCTAGGAATTTTGTTAGAATTTTCCCTGAGCAATGATTTTGCTTTAATCAAAACAAATACAGTCCTCTAGTTACTTTCTTCTAAAGATATCTTTTTTAGCAAGATAAAAAAATCCATTTTATATCTCTAAAGAAATAATCCAATAATCATAGCTTATTGAGCTGAGACTTCAAGATGTAACTTATATTATTTTTAATATATATTCTCAAGTGAAAATTTTTTTGACTTAAAACTTATACAATCTCACATTATCTTATATTTAATTAATTACAAAAGAAAGCAAAGTGTTAGGATTTGAACTCTTAACTCGTTAGGAAAATAATATTTTGATACAATATCAAAAGACCATTATCTCAATCCAAAAGGTTAAGTATTTAGGTAAGACTTCAAAAATAATTTTATATTATTCTCTAATGCACATATTTTGCTTTTTGTAACAGCAATTACCTAGATTTTTTTTCCTCTCCTTTTCTCTATCTCTCTTTTTTTTTTTTTTGTTCAAAATCCTTTTTCTCATTTTGAGTATGAATTATTTCCTTCGTTCTCAATATCTCAATTTCATTACTTAGGAGTTTTTTCTCCCTTCATATAATTTTTGTAAGAGTTCTTTCTATCCATTTTTTTTTTTTAAATGTTCATCTTCATCGTTTCCTTTATCTAGGGACTTTTCTTTTGCTTCTTTTACTTTTAATGTCGTTATCATTAATATTTATTTATTAAATTTTTTATTCTATTATCTTTAAACACTTGCCTCTAGGATAAACCCTGCGGATAAGGTTACAAAATTTGCAATTAATATTAGATTTTCCAACGTATTGTTCTATTTGTTCAATGATATAATCGTAAATTTATATTAAGATAGTTTGTCTTCAAAATATGGGTTTGGTGAAAATTTATATCAAGGTAGTCTGTCTTTGAAATATAAGTTTTGTAGCAATTGAATTACGCATATTAAGTAGTTGGTCAAAAAAAGATAGTAAATATATTTATTGTATTAATTATCTAAATTTTACATTAAGATCTGCTTCAATTATAGTAAAGATCTAAAGGAGGTAACAAAAAATTTCTTATACGGATCGAGAAAGCGCAGTTACAATCGGTAGCTTTTTTAAATTTAATAGATATACATCTATAAAAGTTATTTATAAGATGATTATGGCCAAATGTCCTGATCATGGATATGCACGGCACACTTGTACCTAACTGTTTTTTTTTTTTGGTCAAAAAAGTTTAATATAGAAATCTTGGCTATTTTTTCAAGGCTGCAAGGAAAGAGAAGAGACCTTGACAAAAAAAAGTTTCTTTATATATAGGTGATCCCCCCACTACCAAGAAAAAATATATTCTTTTGTTTTGTTGGCTCCATCTAGACTTCATCCTGACCATTTTTTTCCCGTCATCTTGTTTTGAGTGCTTTTGTTTCTTTTTGCTTCTTGCGTTTTGGTTTGTATTGGTATCTTAGATGCTTTTTTGCTATGGTTTGTTTCCTAAGCTGTTTTTTCTTTTTACGTTCTGTTTTGCTCCTATTGTCTTTCTCCAGCATGTTTTGTGCCTTTTTCACAAATGGCTGACTTTAGCATTTTGGTACTTTCTTTTTTATTATTTATTTTTTTGATAACGTAGGTGTTCGGACTAACTTACGTGCACCTCGACTAATCTCACGGATCCCTAAGTTAACGATCATATAAGTCTTCAGTGGCTACTAAGAAAAGCAATCAGGACTCGAACCCGAGATCACGAGAGGAGCAAACTCCTTGATACCAAGTCTTTGCCGTTGTGCCACTCCCTAGATGGTTGATTTTTAGATACTTTCTTAATTAATCCTAGTGGTGGCTTATGGAAAAAATAAAATTGTGAACAACATTAAAAACTAACTAGGTTACCTATTCAATCCCATAATAAAAATAGTAAATTTATGCCATAATTAACGCTAAAATAATACTATTGAAATTCTCTAATTGCGTGTTCACGTAGCTGAGTTCATGGACATACCCTAACTAAAATCCTTAATTATGCCATAATTAGAGGCTAACATAATAGTATTATTTTTTTAGACTACTATACTTTTGGATTTTATTTATTTATTAGTTTTTCTAGACTGTTATACTTTTGGATAATTTTTTTTTTCAAAAGGATATCTTTGGATAACTTTGAAAAAAAATATCCAAAAGTATAAGAGTCTGAAAACAATAATAAATAAATAAAATCCTTTTGAAATTCTAATTACGCGTTTACGTAGCTGAATACGTGGAAGTACCAAAAGAAGTGAGCGAGAAGCAACAATTGCCACATGATCATATTGGAAAAATGATGAGAGATTGACACATAACCAAACCCATGCATTATAAAAACAAGTTTTTCCACGTTAATCATGGCATTTCAATTCATCACCGTTGAGTTGGAAATCCCATCTATCACACAATAATATAAAAATAAAATTCTATATTTATAAACAAACATGGAATTTTTTATACCATTGAGTTGAAAATTTCATCAATTATACAATAATATAAAAATAAAAATCCATATTTATAAACAAAGATGGGACTTTTATCCCAAGTGAAAAAATTAATATTGTATTTTAATTAATTTTGAATAATTACCATATGGTTTTTTTTTATCTTACATTAATTGATTGAGATTTACAACTTAAAGAATCTTTCTCTAAAATGCATTGCATGTCAAGCAAGACGACCTATTAATCACCAACAACTGGCAACATGTCCTGATCCTTTATTGTTCATAATAACCCAAGCTTTAATGCGTACGTAGTGATAAGTTAATGATAGATGTGATACTGACTCCTTACATCCAAGCTTCGTGTATATTTTTTCCCCTTCTTAGTTTGAGAAGTGGTATTAAGTCATAATATTTTTCTATAATGTGTTTCTTACAATGTTGTCTATATTATAACAAATGCAATATTTTCTACAATGTATTTTCTTTACCATATTTTATGTATTGTAAGAACTTCTTATAATGTATTTCTTATATTGTACAGAATCTTATATATAAATACAATACATGATACTACTATTAAAAATTATGCAGTCACAGGGTATTTTTTTATATTTTTTCTTTGCTTCTCTCTCTCAACTTATATATATATATATAATATATTATTATCATATTTACTTTTTTAAAAACTTTTTAAGGAAAATGATAATGAAATACCATTAATCATCAATAGGAAAGTTTACATCATGTAGGATGGAGGGAATAATGACCAAATGGACCTCCTCTTATAAACATATTCAATGCCCGAAAGATCTAGCATAATTGGCAAGTTTTTGAGCTACTAGATTGAAACTTCTTCTGACATATCAAACTAAGAGACTTTGTTCAGTTGGTTTTGGCATTGAAGAGCTTGAATGCGATGGAGGTAATCGATCGAGTTCAACAATAATCTTTGGAAACCCAAACTCATTGCTAACTCAAAACCAAAATGCATTGCCAAAGTTTCACCAATTGCAATCGAGTTGTGATGGTAAATAAATTTATGAGCACTTGCTAGGACTTGCCTATGATGGTCCCTAAAATAACACCGAGGCTACATCCATCGACTGTAAATGCAAGCATCAAAATTGAGGTTTATCCAACCATTAGCTGGCTTTAGCCACATTAGATCCTCTTGATCGAGAGACCCAAAAATAGCTATAGCCTCATAATAATTTGCAGCTATCAAGGTAGCCAAGGTGCCTTGAGCTACATTAACCACTCATTGCACCTCTCTTTCCTGCTCCTGAAAAATCAGCATATTTCAAGCATATATGCTAGATAGATCGTTTGTGAAAGCGATCGGTACATATTTCTAGAATGATTGAATGAAATAAGGATCAAAGGATATTATTTTAATGTAAGTCGAAATGGAAAGCTTAAAAAAAAAAAAACGAAAATAATGATTCTAGATCTCGACTTCATTGATGTTCTTTCTTCTTTTCTTCTTTTTTATATTTATATATATATATTTTTAATTTTCAAATGGATTTTTATTTTTTCGGCCACGATGCCCTATCATGCCAAATTAAGGAAGGGCATCTCTTCCTATCGCATCATATGATTTATGGAAAGAAGAAAAAAACAAAAGGAAACCAGCCAAAAGAAGAAATAAATATGTTATGATAATGATATCTCTACGCATGCCTTTATTAAATACTTCTTTTCCAGAAACTAGGAACATATGAATGGACCTAACAGAACATACGACTACTAGCGTCTAGCGGATCTCATGGAAGAGAGAAATTAAGTTTAGAATATTTTTTAAATATATTTTAGACAATGAGAGTATACTCATCACTATAGTAATAATAATAATTATTATTTAAACAAAAAAGTGGTAAGGTGGGTAGTCTATTCCATACTCTTTAATAATGAATATTGAATCAATATCATGCCACGCTTTTATCTATGAAAACCCAATTAAATCTATATTGAGATCAAAATTTAGAGTTTTTTTTTCTGGAATAGTCACGAGGTGTAGATTTAGATGTTTAATTAGAATACCATTAAATTCATCAATCAAAATATTACGCGCACGCTTTTTTTGCTAAACAATTACAAATGCATTTTTTTTAGCAATTACTAATAACTATTATTTAATAAATATTGATAAATGATATATCAGTAATTTTTTTTTAGAAAAAATGATGAAAATAATAATTTGATTAATGATTTAATAATATCTATTTTATTAATTGCATATTGTAGTAGATGAACTCCAATTTTTAATTTTATGACTTAAAGATTTGTTAAAAACTTACTTACTGCTACACCAACCTAACATTGGCAAAATTTTACTTTCTTAATTATGTCTTGGAGAAGTTTCCATTCTATAGTAAATCATATGAAATAGTGAATTTATGATGTTTTGAAATATAGGAATTAACCTTACTAAATTTGTCCATCATTTGATGATGGATACATTATTAATTATTCTATTTCACAATTATAAATGTGTTGTTAAATGTGAAAAGATTCACACTTAAACTAAATAGATGATTTAGACAAATCTAATTATTTACAGTAATATCAATTTGATCCTTGATCTTACGTTTTGGACCAAATCCTTGTAATAATTTCTTGTAAATAATAAAAATATACTTGTCATAATTTAAAATTTACTTTTCTAACACCTGAAAAGTTTAAAATTCATCGAGTAACAAGGGAATAATATTTTCCCATAAAGAGGGGAAAAAGATGAATTATGGGAAAGAGAGATTTTTGGAAAATTAGAATCTTGAAATAAACCAAATACAATAATATTTGAACTCTTTTCTGGCCGTTTTTCCATTTGATTCCGTGAATCAAATATATTGGTTTCTATTAGACAAACGTCAAATAACATTTTTTTTTCCTTAAATAATTTTATAAAGTCCATTGATTTCTTAAGTTTTAAGAGATAAACAAAATAGAAAACATTTTCAGAAAACAAAATCCTCCCTTCCCTCAGTCTATCTTGTCGATTTCCCTTATGATCTTTTGACTTTCAAGCCTTTTCAAAGAATACGGTCCATCTGCCCATAAAAGAAAGTGAGGAAATCGACCAGAATCCATTAAATCACATAACATGTGCAGCTGTTCCTAAATGCAAAGGCATGTGGTAATGGCCTTCACGTTACCAGCTGATTGCAATTATAACATTATACACACTTTTAAATGAAGAATTATAAAGACAGTTTTTTTTGCTTGATATATCAAATAAAACTATATATATTTTTTAATTTTTTACTACCAGAGCTATTCGATCTTCAACAACTTGTGATTTGCAGGCTAGCTAAACAGGTCAGTCCTTGAATTGATCAATGTCCATTTTGCTTGTTCAGAAAGTTCAAACTTCACAAAATATTTATAAATATATAACTTAAATTTAGGATTTTGCCATCAAGTTTTAACGACCCGTTTTATGTCTTATGTATCATCAAATATAGGTTTTCTTTTTCTTTAATATCACTATTATTATTATTTTTTTTGGAAGAAAATGTTCAAATGTAGTATTAAGTATTATTTTTTTTTGAGAGTTAATATATTAATTTTCTTTTAAAGTAGGATTTTAAGCCTTATATTTTCCTTTTCAAAATAAACATTACTTAATTTCAATTAATGTAAAAATTAATCTAAAAATACTCTATTATTTATAAATATTGAAGAAAAATATCATTTACGTCAAATTGATGCATTAGATCTGATTCTATTACCCAAAAAAAAAAAAAAAAAGAAAGAAAAAGAAAAAAAAAAAAAGATTTCTCCCCTTAGGAATCAAGGTTTGCTTGTGCAAGAAAAATATTTCCAAACCCCCAAGCTGGCCCTGTGAGTATCAATCTAGCATTCCCTCTCTACTACATGTAAATTGAAAATTCAGAACATTGTAAGAAGAAACCAAATGGAGTCTCTTTTACAATCAAACCAAGAAAAAATTCTTTGAGAGAATCATTCATCTCCATTTCATCCAAAAAAGAAGCTACGAAGCAGCAAAAACAACAACTTCTTCATAGTTTATAACGTTTTTCTTTCACATTGTGGTTTGGCTCTGTCGCTTCCCGTTGTCCTCCACTCCCTCTCAGTCTTTTTTCTTTTATATTTTTGTGTCACACTACTGCACTGCACAAAATCTTTTTCTTCGAGGAATAGTCTTAGTGCCCATTTTCTTCTATCTGTGAATGGATCCTCCACTGAGTTCCGCTACTTACTCTGATGGACATATGGTAATGAGTTTCTTGCTAATTATTTGAAGCTAAATTCAGTTCTTGTATTTTGTGTGCAGCTTGTTAATTTCTATGCATTCGTTTCTTTCTTTTTTGGGGTTAAATCTAGTTGTTAAGTTGTTGTCTTTGGTGTTTGTGTATAGAGTTGTGCTGGACTTACATGGGCTTTTTCAGGAACCTAGGATTTTGTGTTAGGATTGTTGTTTTTGAGTTTGTAAGAGCAGCTTCAATCTATCCACTCAAGTTCCATCTTGATGTCTGATGAGAAAGCACATATCACTATATCAGCAATTGTAAAGTTATAGGAAAAGATCGAAACTTTTTGTTTGATATTGAGATGCGATGTGAATTGTTGCACATGTTGTTTCTTGAGAATTTGCTTGTTGCACCTGATGGGAATTTTTAGTGATTTTTGTTGTGGGTTGTTTAAATAAAAGATCTAGGCTTTGTATATCGTCTGCTTCAATAAATTCTTTTATGTTTACAATTGTTAAAATTGCTTTGATTTTCATGAACAATGATGGGTTTTGTTTATCTGTTCTTTCTATATTGTGAACAGTTAATTTTTTTAACTTTTACCAAGAGGGCTATGTTGGCTTAGAAACTTGAGTGTTATTTTTTCTCTCCCTGCAAATTTTGCTTGGTATGCCAGTGGCAATTTTGCTGCATATGGTCTGCCAGCTCTTGTATGAACACCCTCCAACACATTTGGAAATTTAATAGATGTTGTGGTTCTGAGAACTGATTTTCTTTGAGGAGAAAATTGGAGGTTCGTTGCAATTGATACTCATTCCTCATAGGCTCACTTGTAAGGTTGTATCCCAAAATATTTGTGGATAGGAGGACTGGCTCAAAGTTAACACCAGATTTGCTTTTATTGGGACATATTGTAATTGCAATATGCTTGTCATTCTTAAGTATGTCCTTGCTTAATCAAGCGCATGGAGTATAGCTTTGATCTGTTGTTCTGCATGTATAGATCTGGAAATCCATAGAAATCATCAATGCTGGTTCCCTTGCATTTGCATTTATTGCAATTGATTAACTTTGCTAGGGCTTGAAATCGTTAATATGTTAATTTGCTGCTATGTGAGTATTTTTCAACCAAATAATTGAAAGATTACTACAGTTGCAGAACTGTCTGATCCAAAACTATGTTTGCATTTACCTTTTCATATGATAATTTTTACAGAAGGAGACCTGGAGGCATACACTCATCCTGTCATTTCAAACTCTTGGAGTTGTGTATGGTCGCTTGAGTACTGCTCCATTATATGTTTTTGGGACAATTCAAACGACAGATTTCAAATCAAATCAGACTGCATATGAATATTTCTCTTTTATTTTCTGGACTCTGACTGTTGTTTCTTTACTTAAGTATGCTGTCATCGTACTGAGGGCTGATGATAATGGAGAGGGTAATGGTCTTTGCTAACTGAAAATTCAGGTTCATTTTTATATGATCATGCAATGAAGTGTTATTTACTTCAACAAATTCTTGCAGGTGGTATTTTTGCTCTGTACTCATTATTGTGCAGGCATGCTAAAGTGGGTCTGCTTCCAAATGATAGAAGCACCACTGAAGTTATGCAACATGAAGAAGTAAACACTTCGAGCATTAAAGTTGAATCAAGGGCAAGAAGAGCCCTTAAAAAATACAGAAGTAGTCATTATTTGATGCTGTTCACAGCATTATTTGGTGCTTGTATGATAATTGGAGATGGGGTGATCACCCCATCTATTTCAGGTTAGGCATTCCTGAATCTTGATCAACTTTGATTTTTCAATGTTAATAACTTGATTAAGTTCTCTCCTATATTCCCTTCTTATATGCTAATGTTGTACCCTTTACCAGTGTTGTCAGCTTCATCAGGTCTTCAACGTTCATTATCAGACATTAAATGTAAGAGCTAGATAGCTCTATGAATGTAATACAAAGCTTTAATTTTCATATTTAATTATGCCCTTGATATTAATACCGCTTCATAATTTAATTGCCTCTTTCTCTTCAGATACCTCTTCGAAAGATGCACAAGAAACTATATCAGATAATTTGAAAAAATGTAAGTGAGTACCATGAAATAGTTTTGGCATATAGGATGAAATTTGTGTTTTGGCTACCTTATGGCCTTTACAATGAAAACTTATAGTTTTGATGAAAGAAAATATTAATAATATTTTCCATTATTTTATGTCATGGAATTCTGTTTTAAGTGGTTCTGGATGATTAGCATGTCCCTTTGAAGGCAATTTTGTATGTACTATGGCATTTTCATGTCTATTTGTGTAAAGAACAATTGCCACATGACATATATATCTTGGTAAAGCTACAAGTTGTATGGTAAAAAATATACTTTTATTCAAACATATATATCTTTTAATGCAAACTCAAAAGCATATATGTTCTCTAATAACATGATATTAATGATGATGCTTTATATTTGCTTTTGAAGATTAATAGTTTCAAATACTTAAAGCTTGAATTGATTAGAATTTTTAAATCACTTTCAATGATTATGTGGAAGTTCTAATTTTTTGATTTTCATTCTCCTTTTGTTCTCATTAAAGGATTTTCCAAGGTTTTGCTACCTCAGTTACTGACCTGCTTCCATAATATGTGCTTTTTTCAGATGTACCGGTTCCCTCTGCATGTGTTATAACAGTAGGCCTGTTTATACTGCAGCACTATGGGACTCATAAAATCGGGTTTATGTTTGCTCCAATTGTCACTCTATGGCTCCTGTTTATTAGTGGAGTGGGTATATATAATATATTCCACTGGGACCCTAAAATCTTCTCTGCAATCTCCCCAGCATACATGTATACATTTGTAAGGAAAATGGACAAATCCAGTTGGAAGTCACTGGGTAGCATTCTTCTTTGCATAGCAGGTTGGTTAGCATGTTCTTCATCCTATACTAGTCTTTTTTGTTGTTTTGTTTTGTTTTAGTTATTTTATTTTACTTTATTTTATTTTTTTATCTTAATATGCTGTTTATGGTAGTGGCAAATTGTGTTAACCACTTCATCCGACTACATATCCTGCAGGATCAGAAACAATGTTTACAGATCTAGGCCATTTCTCTAAGAAATCAATCAAGGTGTTGAAAATAGCTCAATGTTTGTTGCCACAGAACAATTATACAGAACCAGTACCGAAATACGATATAACTTTTGTATGGTGTTTCTGATGCAGATAACATTTATCTTCTTGATTTATCCGCTTTTAGTTCTGTGCTATGCTGGTCAAGCTGCATTTATCTCTAAACACTGGAATGGTACTGAAAATTTTAATCATCTACGTGAATCCGTACCTAGTAAGTTTTTAACTGACGTTTTATGTTGTTTGATGGCTGTTTAACCTTAAATTTTATGTTTCTAACTTGTGGAAAGCATTTCAAATTCAGAACATCTTCGTCATGTTTTCACACTGCTATCTCTGCTTGCTTCGGCTATAGGAAGCCAAGCGGCAATAACAGCCAGCTTCTCTATTATAAATCAGTGCCTTGCACTTGGTTGTTTCCCTAGAGTAAAAGTTATACATACATCAGATAAGCGACATGGACAGGTTTATATTCCAGATGTCAACTGGTTATTGATGGCCCTTAGTCTCTCTGTCACCCTTGGTTTCCGTGACATCACAAGAATTGCAAATGCAGCAGGTATTTTCCATCAATATTCTTTCATTCCCTTTTTCTGAAGCTCTGAGGTTTTAAGATTCTTGAATAAGACAATGATGTTCAGTAGGAATTGTTTGGAGCACGGTGAATTAGTCAACTTTTAGTTGAGAATTTATGAATTACAATTGAGCAAGGAGAATATGAATCGATTACAAGATAAAGGCTAGGGCAATAGATTTCTTAGTGATGTCAAGCTTTCACTTTCCTAGATGTTACAACTTACAACAATTGTAGCTATTGATAGTTTGCAAATTATTTACATATTTAGGAGCGTAAACAATAGATGTTAATTGAAAATTAAGGTGCTTGGATGAATTCTATACTTCAGATTATTTGATGGTTATGTCTAATGTGTACTGGTTAAATCTCTATACAGGCATGGCAATAGTTTTTGGGATGATAGTAACGACTTGTATGATGTCACTTGTGATCGGTCTGTACTGGGAGAAGAGTTTGTTTGTATCTGGATGCTTTTTGATGTTCTTTGGTTTTGTTGAGGCTGTATATGTATCGGCATGTATGCTGAGTTTTCACAAAGGAGCTTGGTATCTATTTGTAATTTTAGCTGTTTCTTTCACAATAATGCTTGCATGGCATTATGGAACTATGAAGAAGTATGAGTTTGATTTGCAAAACAAGGTTTCTACAGAATGGCTTACGGATTATAGCCCAGGCCTAGGAGTTTCCAGAGTACCTGGAATTGGCTTAATCTACACCGATATAGTGACGGGAATCCCAGCTTTCTTCTCACATTTCATCACAAATCTTCCTGCATTTCATCAAGTGCTGATCTTTGTGTCCTTCAAGCCCCAACCAGTTCCTTGTGTGCCTCCTGGTGAGCGATATCTTGTAGGCAGAGTTGGCTCCAAAGACTACAGAATTTATAGATGCATTGTGAGATATGGGTACTGTGATCAGGTTAGAGACACAGATGATTTTGAGGAACAGATAATTGGCTCAATTGGAGAATTCATTTCCTTAGAAGAAAGTGATTATGAATCCCTGACGCCTAATGAAGGAAGAATGATGATTGTTGGGAAGCCATTGTTGGACAGAAAGGCATTGATTCCTACAGATGATACCAACTTGGTATCCAGCTCTGCAAATGTAGCTAACAATGAAACTGTGGCAAGTACAGTGGGAGATTTGATCGAAAGAAATACTCCTATCAGGAGGAAAAAGGTTCGGTTTCTAATGCGAGAAAATAGTCCTGAAATGCGGGTATCTGTCAGGGAGGAGCTACAAGAACTGATTAATGCCAGGGAAAGTGGTACGGCATATATCCTTGGTCAGTCGCATTTGACAGTGCGTGATGGTTCAAACTTTTTGAAAACATTCCTTATCATGGCTTATGTTTTTCTTGATAAAAATTGCCGAGAACCTCCAGTGGCATTGAAAATCCCTCATGCTGCTCTCGTGGAGGTTGGCATGGTGTATATCATATAAACTGTATGTACGGTTTGGCACTCTGTACACTGTTTCTGTTTGTAGAAAAAGAAACGCAGTATAGAACAAGTACTTCTTGTTCGATCCTATCAATTGCACTTGAGGTCAGTAGATTTCTCACTTTTCCGTTACGATTTGTATTGAGCAAGTGCAGTGAACCTAAAAGGCATAGAAATGCTCATAAATTAAGGAGTGATTTGCAAACACATTGGTACAAGAATATTGATACCATCGACTAGTGTCATCAACTCCCTTCGCCTAAGTGGTTGAAGTACTGAAATACCAATGGTTAATGAAACACTACTTTTGAATGATCCTCATTTCAGTTTTCTGACACCTGCAGTCACGATATCCAAGAAAATCAAATCCAGAAACTACATAAATTACGGTATAATTCCAATCTAGGCTTTGGACTAACTCCAATAATACTGTTTAACTTGCCTTTGTCCCTCTACTATGGTAGAAGAAGCATCGCTAGCTCTATATAGGATGAGTCATGGCCATGGATGGTGACCAGGAGGTGTCCTTGGAGCTGGCGGTGGACTGATGGGCTTATCATGCAAGCGACCTCTTCGCAACACAAAGACCAGAGAAGGAGATTGCCTACACACATCATAGAAATACATGGTAATATTAGGGAAACAAATGGTAGTAAAACATCGACATCTTTAATTGATATTGAGGACACAGGTTTCCTTCCATTACTCCTGCAAGCTGGCTTCTACAAATTACCTGTCTTTCTGTTGTAAAGAACTTTGGAAGAGAAGTATTAAGCAGCACCAGCGTAAAAGAGCCCACAATACTCTCATCTCTCTCATAACAGACATAGAAAGACTCTCAAAGAACGCTAGGGGCTAAACCCCATCCAAAGAAAATGAGAAAGAATGCTTAGGTTTGGTGGCTGCTGCCTAAATTATTCAAAACCCAAAATGGGAGACTATCAGAGGTCTGTCCCATTAATTATTTTTTGCAGACAATTTTTAAGGTAGCATGGTCAACGGTTGGAACATAAAAAAATCAAGTTCAATCAAGGAGTCTATCATGTCTTTGATATTCCTTAGCAATCAAAGAGTTCACATGCACCGTTGACGTTTTCCGTTGATAAATTGTGATGATTTAGACAGAAGGATCATTTTGAGAAAAATCTGATATTAGGGATGTTTTGATATAAATAATTATTTCGGAATGATATTAAAATGGGTTTTACCCCTAATTCGTCTTTCTACTGTATTTGAATATTTCTGAATGAATCCCTCTACAGTTTTTGGATTTGATTTGAGTCCACGTACGTTGTTGTGTAATGTCTATAACGTAATCTCTCCATTAGAGCTGACAGTTAGCCAACAAAATTAAACAAATAGATGATTGATACGTGTCCGTTTATAATATAATAAAAATAATTTTCAAATAAAAATTTTCATTTTTTCTTTATTTTTTTGGTATGAATAGAAAAGAAATTCAGTATTCTTTAAAAAATAAAAAAAATCAATATCCAAAACAAAAAAAGAATCATTTCTAACTAAGAATAAACCTAAGAGAAAGTTCGCTCTCCTTTACTAAAACAACATCAAAGAAATTAAAAAGAAAGAGAGAAAAAAAACATCCATATTTTGGTGATGAATGGAGATTTATATTGGAGGTTGATTTTAAAAGTATTGAAATTATATTTTTTCATTTATACAAAAATTAAGAAAAGGAAAATTACTTTATTTTTAAAATTATTTATTGTTTTTATATTTTTAATTAAAAGTGAAAACATGTTAATCATCTATTGGCTTAATTTCATTGACCAACTAAATTTTGTTTAATTAAATAAGTGATATTGATATAGATAAAAAAGAAAGAATACAATCCACAAATGGACTCTAAGAAAGGATTGGAGCAAAATCCAAACTCTAGGAAGCCGAAATAAAAATACTAACCCAGAAATGCCTACAAAGAGAAACCAAACCCGATTAGATCCATCCCTAGAGACCACAAACAAGGGCAGCCTTCTCTTCTTTAGTAGCAGGCAGATGTTGCTAGAATCCGGTCAGTGCTAGGAACTAATGGCAGTGATTAGATGGCCAAGCATATTCTCAGGTCATTTCCGAAATCTTAATCTTGTCACTGGTAAACCAACTTCTGTAAAAAGCAGGGAAGGGCTGGAAAAATCCAAAGAATAGATGTTAATTAGTCGTAAAATACAAGCAATATTAATCAAAACTCAGCTTGAACTTCTTCTTCTTCGTTAGAAGAAGACCTCGTTGTGTATAGTCCCTTTTGATCAGAATTTGAATTTGAATTTAAGAAGCTCTCTCTCTTCCTTTGCTATTTGTATTGAGCAAGTGCAGGTAACACATCATGATAGCCAAAAAAATCAAATCCAGAAACTACATTACTGTATAATTTCAATCGAGGCAATACAATAACTCCAATAACATTGTTTAATTTGCCTCTGTCCCTCTACTACGGTAGAAGCATAGCAAGTTCTAAATGGGCTTGGTCATATTGGTCATGGATGATGGCCAGGAGGTAGCCTTGGACTTGGTGGTGGACGGATGGGCTTATCATGTAAGCGACATTCACTTTCCCGCAGCACAAAGACCAGAGAAGGAGATTGCCTACACACATCATTTTTGGGTTAGTTATGATAATTTCAAGTAAGGACTCTTATTTTATTTATTTTGACTTTTGCTTTTAGAGCTTTGTTTTTTTCTTTTTAATTTCAATCTTTTCCTTTTCCTTTAATTTCTTATTTCTTATTTTTTATACATGTCTATTGATCTTTTCCTGAAGATTGGAAAGGACAATAATAGGACGACAGAAAAGTTGAAAAAAGAGCATGCTATATAATTATAATATAGTGTAATATAACCTATGGAAAAGTTGTTGATTCCTTCGTAGCCACTTCATCCTTTTGAATTATATGAAACAAACAATACATCAATTATCATGTTGGCTGCCTACTGCATCTAACATTCTCTTCCCTTTCTCTCATTATACACTTTTCTTTTCCTTTCCCTCTCCACATTCTCATCTCTCATCTCTACTTGAACAATCTTGCTCAAGCAAACCAGGAGTGGAACAACATCTTGTGAACTACATCTTCAATCCAGGTAGATCATTTATATCTGTACTCCATCTTCTTATCATGTTTATATATATGTAGCTATTGACAAAGTTCTATAAATTTTGGAGATAGGATTCATCAGATCTTACCTACCTACAATATTGACTCATAATTTCCTAATTAGTTATCAATTTATTTTTTAATTAATTTCTACTATATATAATTTGATGATTCCAGGTAAATAGGTTAGTATATCATAATTACCAAAGTTGTAGGATTTGTATATGTGACAGAAAGTGATTTGTTAGAGATCATAAGCTTTGCCATCAAAGATCTCTCCTATTTACCAAAAAAAAAAAAAAAGGATAATAAAATTAGACACTTATTGACTAATATTTATATTATTAACTCTAATTTATTTCTAAGTTTGGATAAAAATATCTTGAGACTGATCATATGAGATTAGTAAGACAGCCAGTTCCAGTTTCAGCAAATGGTCCTGGTAAAAACTGAAGTTAAGCAAATAAAGAGTAGTTTTTTTTTTTTTTTTTTTTTTTTTTTTTTTTTTTAAATATACCGGATATAGTTGGTCAAGCAATTCAAAGAAGAAATAAATTATGTTGATTGTTTACTTTTTTCAAATTGGCCAAAACTATAAAATACGTAAATAAATTCCAATTTCTGTTTCGTTGCAACATAGTGGCAAAGGTCCAAATCGCACAAGTTTCATATCGATCCTCTAAAAGAGATACACGTTGCCAACCGGCTAGCATTTTACAACTATTTATTTTTATTCAATACATATGTTCACAAATCTTTTTTTTTTTTTCCTTCTTTTCTACAGAGCCACTGATCAAGGAAAAGGAAAAAAATGGATCCCTCAAATATTGATTCATTTTGGGATCATGTTGACACGATGGATGATGGAAGTATTAAGTGTAAGTTTTGTGAGCGTCCATTTGCCAAGGGTACTTCCATTTCGAGAATGAAATGGCATTTATCAGGAGAGAAAGGCCATGGTGTTGCTATTTGTGGTCAGGTGCCTAAACAAGTTCAACAAGCAGCCTTTCTAGCTATGTGTGGTGACAACAAAAGACCAAAAACGATAGCAAGTTCCAGCAATGTTAATGATAATGCCATTTTATCCTGTTCACAAGAAGAAAACAATGAAGCCGACAATTTGGCAGGAGATGCACCACTAACAACAAATCTTGCAGGAGGAATATCTCAGCCTGATCAAGTGGCTCCCCCACTTGAAAGTAATTGCGGGAGGAATATCTTGAAGGAGATGTTTCAGTCTTTCATGGAGGATGATATAGCGAACTGGACTGGAGTAGTGCAGCGTGGTGCAGGAGCTAGCTCTTCTGGAGGGATTACACGCAACACAAATGAGATTACAAGCGATGCACTACCAACAACAAATCTTGCAGGAGGAATATCTCAGCCTGATCGAGTGGGTCCCGCACTTGAAAGTAATTGGCATGAGATAGTCTAACTCTCTCATGGAGGATGATATAGAGAATGGGACTGGAGTAGGGCAGCGTGATGCAGGAGCTAGCTCTTCTGGAGGAATTACACGCAACACAAATGTGATTACAAGAGATGTTCTACTAACAACAAAGCTTGTGGGTCAAGCGTTTGAAGGCAATAAGAAGACGATCTGGTCTTGGTTGATGAACGATGAAGTTTCAAGTATTGGCATCTATGGCATGGGCGGCGTGGGTAAGACGGCATTGTTGAAACATATTTATAATGAGCTTCTAAAGAGACCAGACACTTTCTGTGATGTTTTTTGGATTACCGTTTCACAAGATTTCAACATTAATAGATTGCAGAACCGGATTGCAAGACTTATTGGTTTAGATCTCTCCAAGATGAAGAGGAGCTACACAGAGCTGTCAAATTGTCAATAGAATTATCGAACAAACAAAAATGGGTTCTGATTTTA